GAATAATCCAGAAGTTCGTAGTTTTTGCTATCTTTTATAGTTCGATTTATTTTCTGAATTCTCTAACAAAGACAAACTCTAAATTTATTTTCATTATAGGAACAATGTGAAAATGCCCTTAGAATCATGAAATTACAAAATACATTGAAAATTGGAGATACCTTTGCCACACACTCACAAAATGCTCCCAGAATGATGAGGCAGAAATAGACGACATAAGCCATATAATCACAAGCCATAAAACTTTATTGTAAGAAGCACCTACATACACTTAATGAACACAAACAACTGTTATTACAGTGATTTATTAAGACTCAAAATATTTCCATTTAGGTGAACTATGTCTTAAAATTGTAATTAGCCCTTTCTGCTTAACTGTATTGCCGCTAAGAAGGCTCTTCTTACCTATTCACAGACTCAAAGGTTAAAGGTACATTTCAATGTCCAGCAATAAAAAATTTATTTATTTCGAGACAAATATTTCAGAAATCCTTCAAGACTCAGAAATCAACTTCCTGGGTTTCTCGGTTTCACAGCAGCCTGTTTTTATTCACAGTTCCTTCCCTTTCCTTTCTTTGTCCAAATACATTTTTGTCCCTTCAATGAGAGAGAAAGAAAAGCTATTTGAAGAGAAGGATCTTTTAATAACATTATTTAAAAAATAATAACCTAGACCGACCTGCCTTATGATGTATACTTTAGGATATTATTTTTTCTTCATCTCTAATATGGGAAAAACAATGATCAACAGAAAAATCAAAGTATTTTATTTTAAATGTTCAAAATAACAGCAGTAAAGGTTATAATATATCCAGAATTTCCTTGTGTTCTAGTGTCTATTTACACACACCTGTGTGCCATTGAATACAGAATGTCCTCTCCCCTCACACACTCCATGTCACTCATTTAATGTGCTCTTTTAATCACAGCTTCATTATGTCACTTACACTCACTTATTCAGGGGTCATCTTTCCTCTCTGCATTGAATTTCTATCGCCAGAGTACTGACCTTCATTTCATCCTCTCTTGGCTTTTCTTACTCCACACATTACACACTATTGAGATGAAACTTTGCAGTGTTAATGATGTTTCTTTTGTACTCAAACAGCTTTGTAAACTCTTCAAATATATAAATATTACCCAGCCTCCTGAAGTTCACATTCTTGCCTTTCTACCATAAGTCTCAAGCTATCTTTCTAGTGTCATCTTTGATCATCTCCCCATGAATCTTAACCTTCAATTAAAATGAAATTTTAATTCGAGTCCATGCTTCTGTTTCTTTATTCAAGCTGTTTGTTCAACTGGAAAGTGTAGGCCCTGTTAACTTCACCCCCTGACATACTGAATCCCAAGCTTCCTTCTCCAAACACAAAGCCTCCCTGACACTTTCCCAGTTGTCCTCTCTCCCTTAAACTGTATAACTAATCATTCAATTGTTGAGAGTTCATTTTTATGTATTCCCTATTGTATCTGTGTACCTTATACATAAAAAGTGCATGATAATTTGAATTAGGTCATATTACTTTTAAAATGCAAACACAAAAGAGACAGATCTGATCTTACATTTACTAGGGCAATGTGGGCAATAGTATTTGGAAAGGTTTTTGGGTTTGTTTCATTTTTATAGAGGTTTAGGAAGGGTTTCTTGACTTTACAGTGGCCTGTCCAGTGCTTCCCAGCTGCACAAATCAGCGATGACCAACAGAAACATAATGCCAAGTATGTCTGGACCTCATGTGGTATGACGTTGAGGAGTGACATAATTTTAATGGAAAGAAAAATAGCTTGATCAGAAATTATTTTCAAAATGTTTGTGTGGAACAAATGCTAAATCATTAAACATCTATTGGATTACTTCAACTCTAGCACTATGATCGATGAAATAATTGCTAATGTGGTATATTGCTACAGGAAATTTAGCAAGAGTAAAAATAGTCACTGGTATAGAACTTTGATAATTTTATATATGCATTTTATTCATTTATTATGTGATTATTAAATCTCCTTTTGTATAATCAAAGTACAAGATACATCTCATTACAATATATTGACTCAGAATACAATTTCACATTTTAAAATTATGGGTCCTTGATATGAAAGTACTATCAACCATTCTTTTTGATTCTAAATCATTGGCAAGTGTGCTGCCCTCAATTTTGGTCTTGCTATTAAGCAAAAACTATAGCATATTTTATGGCTATATATTGATGTTAGAATATGAAAACACATTAAAGAAAAAAAACTGGTGATTGTTCATTTATTTACATTAATTTACTATTCCTTAACCTAGAGTTCATCAGGTTTTAAAACATCTCAATAAAATTTGCCTTTATCTTAAAATGAATCCAAGGAAATTTTCCCTTCCCCTATAAATTCCCAGATAAGTTTGTTGATTTTATTTTGTTTCAGAAACTACTTGGTATTTTAGTTATTAATTTTATGTGAGTCTAAGTCTATCTATGCAATTGAAGAATAAACACAGTATTATTATGCAATCGTAAATCCAAGAGAAGACAATTGGACTAGTCATAATATCCCTTCTCAGAACTTCTGGATCCTGGTCACTTATTTGGAGGATGGTCTATATAAATTAACATTTTTTACAAATAATGCTATATCCTTCTGCTCCAATTATTCTTCCCATCCTCTGTCTCCACTTTTTTAGATTAGTGTTAACAAAACTTAAAACAGCTAGAGAACATAAGTTTCAGAATCCAATACATTAAGATATAACTCACTGAAGAAAGAGGATTTAAAAAAATCATTTCTCAAAATAGCAAAATTTTTTAAAGAAGAGTAATTCAACGGCATTCCCTTTGAAAATAAGCTCTACTCAATTTCTCATGAAAAGTTTCACCTTTTTATTCTCACTTTTAAAAATAATGTTTGCACGCCTCTGTTTCTGATCTATGTGTTTAGATAAAACTGCTCAAAATACCACTGGCTTTGAAAACAAAGTTATTGTTTTGATGGTATTTACAATGAATGTATATAGAAAAGCATCTTTTATTATTTTTATCAATCTTATTTCCACTTGTAAATATTATTAACATTTAAATCCAGGTTAATGAAACACCAATGAGAAAAATTTAAAGCTATTTATATTAAGCATTTTTAAGTATTTTAAAATGTAGTCATGCTCAGATAAACTTAAAAGAATCCCAGAATTAGCTTTGCCCCATGACAGTGAGCAGGCTACAGCTTAAAACTGCACTCCCTTTGAAATGTCTTATGGAAATAGTTATAGTACATTTTAGTGAAGTGTTTTATTCTTCATGGGTACTTTTTTATTTAGCTCTAAATTAATGTTCACCTTAAGAATATCTATCAATACTCAATGTTATAAAAATAATGCATGAATAATTCATAAGTGATATATTACATGGCCAAAGTTTAATTTGGCTCTCCATTCAAAATGAGCAGTGTCGGTGGATAATCTGGCATTATGGTTCAATCTATGCTTTTTTTTTTTTTGAGGATTATAAATATAGCAAAAAAAATTCAGACATATCTGGGGAGCACACAATACAATGCATTTAGATATTTCAAAAGCTGTATTCTAAAAACATAAGTGTAAGCAGGACAGAATCCCCCTCATGTATTCACTAACCATAGGAAGGAATTATTTGTTAAAAGCTAGAGTGTCAAATGTACAGGTGGCAGCTTCATCCACCTAACATAACATAGGCTTTTATCAAAAAAACTTCATTCTCATAGTTGCTCTTAGCAATGGAAACAGTTTAAAAAATTTTTAAATGTATCTCCAAGATCCCTCTGGATATTGTCTAGAAAACTGGGTGATAATGAATGAATATGGGTTTCTTATAAACAACTGATATGCCAAACTAGTTACCAGAACATAATGATTAAAGCCTAACTTAAGTCCAAGTTTGTTAATAGTTGGAGACTGTTAATCAACTTTAAATTAGTGAGACTCTCTCTGCTGCTGTCCCTCAGAGTGGAGCTCCCACTCATGTGCATCAGCGGGGCCCCCCACGGGACCGCACCCTTAACTGACTTCTGGGTCAGTTACCACGTAGAAAAGAGAACATTGCAATGATTTTTAGTGAAGTTGTAAAACTAACAGGGTCCAAACTTAGGCAAAGGAAAAGGCAATATATAACAAACACTTAAAACCATGTTTTCAGAACATTTTTAGTTTGAAAAATGTTAATAGTTCATGTTCAAGGCCCTCAATATAAACTATTACTCATCTTACTAGGTAATAATTCTTTAACCACAAAGCACATTTCCTCAGTGTTTTTGTTAATTTAGGGAAGGGAACACTTTTCTAGGACATACAGAAGAAGATCAATTCTCTCTTCATTTATTTCCAGTGTTGTTCGAGCTAAATATTTCAGTGTTAGCTCCTTATACTGCATAAGTGCTTTGAAGCAGAGAATAAAATAGTTCAATGTAACATTTCTTTTTACCTTGTATTTCAAAAAAGATGACTTTGGTGGTTTTCATCCTCATTTGTAACTCATCCAAAAACCTATATAATCTTGTTAACAAATGTCACCCTAATAAATTTAATTAAAAATAAATAAATGTAACTGAAGTTCTATTTAAAATTGTGTCAGGAAATAGACTTAATTAAAATAGGTAAAAATTGGCCTTTTAATTATGTAAAAATTAGCATGTTCTTCTTTAATTAATAAAGCATTTATAAGTAAATTACTTTCTTCCTTAGAGTAAAACATCTTGAAAATAAATCTCAAGAAATCATGGCTTTATGTATTTAACACGCTCTTTTCCAAACAGGGCATACAAATAAAAAGCAAAAAACCCAATTAACCATATTTTGTAGGCATAAAATTACTACATAAATATTAGGCATTACAACAGGCTGCCATATATATAGACTGTATTTAAATAAAATATGTATTAAAATCATTCCATCTTTAAAATATGAATCAAGGAATGTAGTTCAAAGTCCTGATGTGATTTAAGTAAAATAAATAAAGTTCAAGTAAAAATATATAATAGTACTTTAATGGACTGAATTTTACAAGTAATCTGTTTTACATAAATTCAAGTAACTTAATATGCAAACTGCTACTTTACTTACTTATGACAGTCTTAAAATGGTCACAAGAATATTCACATTTTAGTCATTAGTTTCTCTGAATTTTAAACTTAAACTTCATGTTACTGAAGTGCAGTAAATGATATGGAATTTAGTAAATTTTCTTTTTGCATAACTTATAAGTAAAGATAGCCAACCCAATAAACCAGATTGAACAGGGCAAAAGCTGTTGGGAAAAAGATTCGGGAATAGGAATCGATTTTGGCGATGCGGATGTGGATCCTGCCTTCTCTCCAGGACCCTGTTCTGCAGTCTTCAAAGCAACAGAAGAAACTAGCACAGTCTTTGCCCTCCAAACACTGGTACCCGTAATCATCTTCTCCTTGTGGCGGAGAAATGCTATTCATTGGAATCAAAGTGGATCCAGGATGGAGTCCCGGGGTTATCTGTGTAAAATAATAGATAAGAAGAAAACAGCATTAAAAAAAAGATCAGTTTGTCCCCTTATGGCAAGCTCTAAAAGAATGCAGTAAAAATAATCCTGGTTTTAAAAAATCAAAGAAGTATTCAATGTTAATGTTTTTAGATTATAATTTACTTTGTAACACACAACATAATATTACCATACACTTGAAAGATCTTGCAGAAAAACACCCCTCAAAAATGATATAGATGTTCTACCTTTAGAAAGATCATCTGCCAAAATATTGACCATGAATCTTATTCTAAAACAAAAATGAGCTGTATATTTCCATGATATTTTACTCTAAAACATTTACAATGCCATAAATGTCTGTTTGCTATTATGTCATATTATGTAAGTTATTTATTTTAGTAATGATGAGAAAAAATAGCAAAGATGACATTTTGATAATGTAAGCAAGCGTGGAGAGGCTGTGAATAAATACAAAACACAATGCAGTTGTAGTAGTGGATATGCTCAAGGCATCATATTTGGGGGAAAGAATAAACAAGAGTTAAAAACTCAAGTTCCAGACTAATTGTACCAATGTAGTTATCCTCAAAGCTAAAATTATATTAACACCAAATTTTTGTGGTGGCTGTGATGAGTATATTTCATACCTAAGTTATATGATCAGTGCTTCATCTTGCCCAGTAATAATCGCTACTATTATTATCAGGATTATTTGGGACACCTTTTAAATTAACTTTTTTTTTCTTTATTGACTTTAGAGAGAGAGGAAGGAAGAAGGAGAGAGACAGAAACATCAAAGAGAGAGAACATCGATTGGCCACCTCCTGCATGCCCCCCACTGGGGATCAGGCCCACAACCTGGGCCTGTGTCCTGACCAGGAATCCAACCAGCGACCTCTTGGTACATGGGTCGACACTCAACCACTGAGCCACACCAGCCAGGCCAAATTAACCTTTTATGATAACAAGTTCTGAGTAATACCTAAATAATAAAAACAGTTTAATATAAAAATTAAGCAAGTCGTGACACTGTAAAACATTAAAACATTCCCTTTGGAGTCAGACAGGCTTGGACAGAAATTCGGGCTCTGCCCAGTGGAGTTGTGTGACCTTGAACTGGAAGTGTGGCTCTTCTTCTGCCTCTGTGCCTTCTGCTGTACAAGTCACAACAACAATACACAGATATATTTAGGGATAAAATGAGATGATGTACGTAAAGCACCAAGCAAAATATTTGAAACACAGCAAGCATTCAGCTGCCAACAGCTAGTACTTATTGTTGCTATTGCTGGTGTTGATTCCTGAAGAGGCTGTATCAAAATTGGCTATAAAGTATGTGTTAAAGCAAGGAATAACAAAATTACTACAAAAACCTGGACCTTATGAAAAATGTTACCAGAAAAAAATTAATAGACCTTTGAATAAAATGGCAAGTAAAATATGAATGAAGATTGCAAGTCTAGTAACTCTTCAGAACTTCTGCATATTTCAAGGGTTATCATAAGATCCGACTTTACAACTTATTATAATCAGTGGTTTTATTGTTTAAATATGTATTTTTATTGACTTTGTTTTTTAGAGAGAGAGAGATAGAAATATCAATGCGAGAGAGATACATGGATCAACTGCCTCCTGCACAACCCCCACTGGTGATCGATCTTGTGACCCAGGCATGTCCCGCAACCCAAGCATGTGCCCTGACTGGAATCAAATCGAGACCTCTCAGTCCATGGGATGATGCTCAGTCCACCGAGCCACACTGGCCGGGCAGTGGTTTTATTATTTAAACAGCAGCGACAATGCGGACATTATTAAAATTGTTTTAGTCTGGTCTAAATTATTTCTAATAAAAATGTTTATAACTTTTCAAATCTTAAATTTGAAATAAATATATCGCATAGCCATGACTATTAACTATTGTATGGACAGATTTAAATATTAAGAAAGAAAAGTAAAACTTCTTAAAACATGGACTTAACATTAAATCCATTTTATTTCTAAAGAGTAATATAGAATTTCAATCACTAGATATTAAAATTCAGTATATGCAAAAGGAAGCAAATAATCATATTTTGTGATATTTCAAAAAGATAAATGCATCAGACAAGTCATAATATTCATATTAGAAACAAAATGTGCAGCCTGGAGATAAGGAGAAATGCCCTAAACACAAATAAATGCATGACTCCACCAGCTTAGATATATCATAAAAAGCAGAGGCAGTGTATTATTAAATGTTAATGACAGATCTTTTGAGGTTGACACTAGGAGATACTTTATTGACTCCTGAATTTCAGTGGTGCACTAAAATGAGACATTGGTATTCATTTCCTTGTCACTTAATACTTAAATAGCATTGTTCAAATGCTAATCAGAGTGAAAAATGATTAAAATACAAGTTTGTTATTTTTTAATTTCAAGGTTATATGGCATAAAACACATTTCTTATATCACTCAGAACTGCCATAAATGGAAATGTAGTGTGTTGTCAGAATGTTTCAGTTGCACATGAAAATGATAATTAAACACCAAAGGGCAGAAAAATGGAGAAAAATGCAAGAGTGTCATTTAAAAAATGGACTAATCTCTAGTGGTCAAAATCATGCAGAGCTCCCAGCAGTGACGCCTGACACTGACAATATTCCAGTTTCCTGCTGCCCCCACAACACCAAAAATTCAGAAATTGAAAGACATTACACTTTAATGAATGATGAATATGAATAGAAATAGACTTTATATGTGCTGAGAAAAATATCAATAAAATAAATGTTTTGACTGACAGATCTGTCACTCAGAAACTACTGAAAGATTAATCCAGAGACTATAAATATTCCAAACCTTATTTATCTGAAGTGAAACTATTACCCATTTCATACAACTTTTCAAATAAAGATCCTCTTCCCCTCAATAGCAAGCATTCAAAAAAATAAATCAGTTTAAGTGATATAAAAAGAAACAACAAAACTGAATAAGTTTTACTCTTACGTCAAATGAGAGTTTTGAGAACATACCTTTTTTTGTTATTTCAAAAAGTCACTAAGAATATAGTTGAAATTAACATTTTGAAAAACAGATTACATTCTCATTATTACAAATCTGGTTGTATATTAAATATTATATTGCATATGTTAATAACATCATTAAACATACAAAATATATTTTAAGTATCAAGATACTAATATAAATTCAATATTAAGTAGTAAATAAAACATGTATGTGCAAATTATATTTATATATGTATTTACATAATATAATTATATCATATACTAACATAATTAATTATATATTATTAACTATTAGTAAGATAAATAGAAAACTATTAGGTCATGTTATCTATATTGTGTAATGCTAATATTACTATTATTAAATTTTTTATTTAAAACGTTGTGCATGAAAATGCCATACTAAGTATAAATTTTCTCCACTCTCCTTTCACAAAATTAGTCAGAATTTCAAAAATTACAAAATACACTTTAGTGTTAAAAACACATAAAGTCCCAGCCGGTGTGGCTCAGTGGTTTAGCATTGACCCATGCACCAAGAGGCTGCAGGTTCAATTCCCTGTCAGGGCATATGCCCAGGTTGTAGGCCTGACCCCTAGTGCGGGGCATGCAGGAGGCGGCCAATTGATGTTCTCTCTCATCGATGTTTCTATTTCTTTCTCCCTCTCCCTTCCTCTCTTTCTAAAATCAATAAAGAAAAAACACTTTTTTAAACACGTAAAGGTGAGTCTTGGTGATCCTGAGCTGCCCATCAGCATATCAGATTTTGTGATGAGTTTTTAAAAGATACAGAACAGATGGAAATAAGCCAATTGATAAAGTAGACCAAAGGAAGCTACTTTTCAGAAGAGGCTCAGAAAATAGGAACACTTGACTTTAAGGTAGGAAGAATGGAAATGATAAACAGGACCAAAAACATGGCAGTACATATGTTACAAGTCCATCTCCAGAACAGCTACGTATAGTCTTCTCAGCACTCCACCCTCCTTAAGTCCATGTTTCATTATGTGGGAGCATGAAATCAAGATATTTCCATAAGAATGTCTCCCTTAAAAATATCTTTTACTTGTATACATCAGAAATATTCTGCTTTTGTAAAAGTATTTGAAACCAGTCACCTAATTCCCTTAAAGTATCTTTGTTTTCTTTTGATTTTTACATCACAGTGCTATTTGTATTGCACTTTATTATCTTGCATTTGCATGCCTAATGTATTTTTCTACAACTACATTAAAAGATTCCTGAAAGTAGAGAACACATTCTATCATTTTTCTCTTCAAAGTGTCTTGTTCATGGTTGGTGAAATAAGTATCATTCTACATTTTAATCCAATTGATAGATTACTAATACGTTCTGTTCTCAAATGATTATATCAGGCCACTGCTCTGAGTATAACATGTTTTTCTGAGATTTCTAATCATCTATAGGCTGTGTTCTAGTTTCAACATGAACTCCTAATATATTATATGGAGAGTAAAATAGAAAGCACCTTAATTGATTTAAGCTTTTCTAAGAAGGTTTATTGAAACTAAAAATCTATTGTGTTCAAATGTCTGTCTTTAATTAAAATAAATTTGGGTGTTCTGATATTCTCAGTTAAGTAGTCAAAGTGACCTCAACAAGGGGGATTTCAGTTTTGCTTAATAACATACCTATTGACATTTCAGTGATTCTAGTCAAGGTCTTTGGTCCTAGACTATTATCATAGTAATTTAAGAATAAGAAAAGGACAAATGATGCATTTTAAACTACTCAGAATTTTGGGCTTATAAAAAATGTGGGGAGATGGAATGGAGGTAAAAGAAGAAAGGAAAAGGGACAGAGGAAGGAAGAGAAGACAGAGAGAGCAAGAGAGAGACAGTGAAAGAAAGAGATTTCTCTCAAGGTCGTGCATTTGATTACCATGGGTGAAACAGAAAAAAAAGGTTCTACAATGCTCTTAAATAGGACATTTGAGAAAATATCAAGTGGAGGTGTCTATTCTTTATACAAATGTACTCATATTAACTTACCTGATTAGTAAGAATATATGACTGAACCAGGCAGGGAGTCAGATTTGATTACTGATTCTAGTTTTTCACTCAAAGTGACATTTAGTATTGAAAGAACTCATGAATCACATAACTGAACAGAAAGAAAAGACTACAGAACTTTATTTTGGATAGCTCTAGAGAAAGTACTTTTTGTACCCAGGTAGTCAATTATAATATGTCAAATTTAACTTTTGATATTTGAAATTTAGTGCTTCAAAGCTCTACTTTCATTTTTATTCCTTTTTTTTCTCATCCTTAGTATTTTGTTTCCTGGGCTTGATGCTCAATTTTAAATACTCAACATGTAGATTTTGTCTTAAATAACTATTCTAAAACAGTGCATAGAACATGGGTGTCCTTAATAAATATTTGGTGAATAAATGAATGAATAGACATTATCATGTATAGCTTGCCCTCCACTTTGCAGCTTCCTCAGTAAGTGTGACATGCAATGTGACTGAGGGTGCATGATCTAATGTCAGAGTGATAAGAATCAGCCACTTACTAGTTGAGTGTCCTTAGCTGTTATAATAATAGTATCTACGTCATATATTCTTAGAATGAAATTAGAGAATCCATGTGAGATTGTACACCGTCTGGCTTTCATTCATAATTTCCATAAGTAAAATCTTCAAGGTAGTGACTAAACATAGCTGTGGATGAGTAAATGATGAAATGGAAAATCCAGAGAGGATGATTGGCTTTGTTTAAAGGAAAGTGGTAGAAATGCTTCATTTTCTTTTATCTAAAATTTTGCAAATCTATATTAAAGTTGACATCATTATCCTTTGATAATCTGTCCATTAAGGGGTCATAATATGTCCTATGCATAAGTTAAGGTAATGTTAGCATGAGAAACTCACAAGCCAATTCTACAATGTAAGTTCTCAAATGTGTATTGCCAGTAATGTACTCTGCTTTCTTGGAATATTGTGGGAATCTGAAAATAAATTCACAAAAATTTGTTCCTAGGAGTATAACATGAAAACTAAAATATAATTTGTAAGTATAGCAAAGTTTTGTAAAGAAATTAATGAAAATTGGGGGAAGGAAGAAAAGCATTGAATCTTAGAACTTACAAGGTTAGGAGATAATATGGAAAATTGATGCCCCATTATAGAAACAGTATAGTAGGCTTATAACCTTGTCAACCTGCATGGCTATGTTATACAGTTCTAATTTATTTGGGTATTTTGGAACAAATCCATGTTGAAAACATTTTCTGGAGTCAGCAATGAAGTGCCTTTTTAAACTAATATTGAGAAACGGATGTTTACTTACTGCGTTCTCTGCAAAAAGGAAATATAAAGTAAGGATCACAGACTAGAGCTGAGGCACTACAAAATACCTGGGTTTGAGTCTTGGTTTCTTCACATTCTGAGGATGTCCCTGTGCAAATGACTGAACTGTACTCAGATGAGCATATGAAATCATGCATGCAAAATAGTTAGGGGAGTGCCCGACATGATCACTGTTAGATATTACTCTAAGGTTTTAGAATTGCCATTATAACAAGAAATTATAGTTAATCATCCAACACTTGAGCATCTTAGAATCAATTCCAATATATTGACTTGATGTGATGTAAGTGAAGATAGACACCTGATTGGAAAGGGAGTAAGAGCGTATAAAATATGCAGAAACCGAAAAGAACTGTTTAGCTATGTCTTCCAAACACAATTGAATACCAACACTGAAGAAGAATCTTTGTCTCTAAAAGGTAAGTTAAATTTGTGGGCCACCTGTTGTTCAAACTCCAAATCCTCACAAAAACATAGAATCTCTTTAAATAATGGTCTTAAATTATTTTTTAGGTATAAGAATCTACCACTTGGTGAAAATTCACAGCACCTGAAACCAGTCTTTAAAGGCGATCCAAGAGCCCTGGCCGTTTGGCTCGGCAGTCAGAGAGTTGGCCTGCAGTGTGGAGAGACCAGGGTTCGGTTCCCGCTAAGGGCACGTACCTTGGTTGCAGTGGTGTGTCCCTTTCGCGTCGATGTTTCTCTCTCTCTCTCCCTCCCTCCTCCCTCCCACTCTATCTGAACAAAATATCAAAAAATGTCCTCGGGTGAGGATAAAAAAATAAAAAAATTAAGGTGATCCAAGAGACTTTTCTAAGGGGAAATATAAATATACTTTCCTTGGTGGACAATGTGAGGTACTCCAGTTTCATATTAATTTTATTTTTATTTTGTCAGGGTACCTCAAGCACCTATATTAGTTGAAGTAAGTATAACATGAATAGTATATCTAATAGTAAATTCCTGTTTATGAAACAAAGATTTTTAACATACCGAGGCCTTGTTTTTTAGCTTTCTGTCTCGAGCAGTCTTTGCTTTTTTGTTGCTGGTAAAATAATGCAAAGTGCCATATTCCATCAAGGCTGCAAAAACGAAAATGAAACACACAGAAACAAAGAGATCCATGGCGGTTACATAAGAAACCTTAGGCAATGACTTCCTGGCTATTGTGCTCAAAGTGGTCATAGTCAAAACTGTGGTAATACCTGTGGAGAGATGGAAACCATAGTTGAAAAATAACCTAACAGACCATTTTTATTCTTTCATCTGATTTGGCAACATTGTGAGCAGAAATAAACAATGCACACAAAAGCGTATGATTACTGTGATTTACAGAAGAAAAAAAAATACTGGTAACCATAGTTACATTATGTTCGATGTGTTCTTTGTGTCTGTGTATCTTAATCATCTAAATTCTGTGGACTGTAAGTAGTTGACTCTCCGGATCCATCCTTCCCTTCCTCTGTGGGAATAGGCTATTCAATTTTTAACTGTTATGAGGCTGCCTGTAAACCTACTTTTGCCACAACCTACAGAAAGATATTTATTTAATGTATTTGTTGTTAAAGAGGGTACTTAGAACATGGACTTTAAATCTTTCCTCCTTTCTAATATTAGCGTTATAAAGCTATAATTTCCCCTTTAAGCAATGCTTTACCTGTATCTTGCAAATATTTATATATTAAGCATCTATTAAAATTTAGTTTGAAATATTCTCTAATGTATGTATGTATAACTGAAAAAAAAAAAAAAACCTTTATATTCCAACTACATAGGACCCACAATTATAAGAGATATTCTTCAAGATATATCTATCACTTATCTGTACAGTTCATATCCTAATATTAAACATACAGATTCATGCAAAAGCACAATTCCACAATTGCCTATTCTCTTTCATGGCACTATGGCATATGAGTTTTGGCTTCATACAAACCTAATGGTATAAATAATTTATTCAAATTCTCTTTAGAAAACACACAAGAATAAGGTTTAAAAACAAAAATATAATATGTAAGTCATTTTCAAAGTAGCATATAAATAATCTAAGATCATTTATGTACCTTGATACCACATGTAATTTGAAGTAATGATAATTGTTTAAATAGGAAACAAACCTCAGGTGTGAGTGCACTTTATCCACTAACTATGTCTGCACTTCCATTCAGACTCCCAAAGGAACTGCATCTCCAAAATGGAGCTAGGTTCCTCAGGCTTTATCTTGCTACTTTTGTGTAGTTTGCATTTTATTGTATTTATGAAGTGAAGTTAATCACTAGCTATCATAGAAACCAAATGAAAACCTCTTTCTGCTGAAAAAAGCAATGGCCCTAACTTACTTTGCTTTGTAAGGCACACTTTTCAGTAATGTAATTCACTTCCTGCACTATTCTGGGGAATGAATCAACTGATCAATGAGATATCTTTGTTTATCAATACATGAATTTAAGTGATCATTTTTTTAAAAACAAATGTATGGTCATTAGACACATTTTTAAAATATGATGTTGATGATTGAAATAGATTGCCAAAGAAAGAAAATAAAAGTCTATTTTATCAAGTATGAATTACAATTACCTTTTAAATCAGTGTCATTTTACGGGGAACTCTCAAAATATTCACAGACTAAGTAACATTTTACAGATTACAGAAGATTATTGTTCCTTTCAGTGGCCTGCCCTTTAGAACAGCTGAGTATTCATTAGCACCATTGTAAGAGCAAGGCACTTCAAGATTTCTAAACACATACCAGTCAATAATGTTGCCTACTAGTGATTCAGCTAGAAAAGAAAATAAAATCTTGATGAAAAGTGATTGAAAATGTTGACTAAAATTAAATGCAGCGATTATGTATAATTTGCATGTGTTAATTCTTGCTGTGTATTTATGTTTTCCTTGACCTCTATTAATAAAAAAAGTAAAAATAATTCCCAAAGTTTCAAGTTCTTTGCAATTCTATTTCATTCTTGTTTTTCATGTATTTATTTCAACACTACAGTGCAATAAAGTTATGTTCATTTTTGTTTGATTGTAGTGTAGAGGAATATTCTAATATATTCAACAATAAACTTTATATAGTAAAATATTTGTAAACGTCCCATAACACTATAGCATAATATTATGTCTTACCGAGTGAGGTTCTTGCTGGTACTGCATCTTTATTAATCCAGAAAGACACCCAAGAAAGAACAACTGTCAGAATACATGGAATGTAGGTCTGAATAGTGAAATATCCCATTCGTCTGCTCAGGTCAAAAAATATTGTCATGATAACATAATCCCCTGAAAGAAAAAAAAAAGTTTTATTTTGGCTCTAAAATATTTTTAAAAGTATAGATCGCAATAAAACCCATAGATTGAAATACAAATGCTGTTTGACTCATTTATGTTTCCTTCTTACCAGAGATTGTGTGAGAAATTTCAGTTGAGTTCCGCAACCCTACAAATGCAAACTGATATAATCTCCAATATTTAGGATCAGCCACTTCTACAGAAGGCTTTTTCCATTTATATTCAATTTCATTTTTAGGGTATCCATCTAGATAATAAATTAAAATAAAATATATAGATTAACAAGATCCACAACTGTTACTACTGCCCTACCAACATTATCCAAAGACAAATTTTTTAAAATTCTTCATGTCATTATAATTATTTTATCTAAGACAGTTGAACATAAGCTACGCTTCAGAAAATTGTATACATTGTATTTTATTTTATTTCATTTTACATTTTTAAATGAACAGGTCCTGAGTCTAAGTTTCTATGAAAATTATCATGTATTTTATCACTTACAGCTTGAAAATTCTAGTGGACAGGAATGTTCATCCATAGGAAAGTTGTGGAGCTGAAGATAACATTCTGCATTAATTGTCAATCTATTTAGATGAAAAAAATATTTAAAAATAAAAAATAATTTCAAGCATTAAAAATATTTTCTCTAATTTTCAAACATGATTTTGGCCTACAATAATGGATTTTGATATATTAGAAAATAATCATTCTAAAATCTCAAAGTCTTACATAGCAATATTATAACATTTATAGATGAATAAGACAATTTAACATTTTCCTCTCTAGCCAACTAAGTTGTATCTGTATACATTTAGTATAAGTTCTTTTTAAAGTTAAAAATTTGGCCCTGGCCAGTTTTAGCTCAGCAGTTAGAGCGTCGGCCTACGGTCCAGAGAGACCTGGGTTCGGTTCCCACTAAGGGCACGTACCTCGGTTGCAGTTTGTCCCGGGCCCTGGATGGGTTGTGTGGGTGGCAGCCACTCAATGTGTCCTTTTCAAGTCGATGTTTCTCTCTCTCTCTCTCTCTCTCTCTCCCCCCGACTCTATCTGAACAAAAAATAAAAAAATGTCCTTGGGTGAGGATAAAAATTAATAACTGAATAAATAAATAAATAAATAAATAAAGTTAAAAATTTGTAATTCAAGGAGATCAACACACATACCTGTGGGCTCATGTGTGCACAAACACACAATTAACAGGGTGTACATGATTAAGTCTGAAAATTTTTTTTCTCTTAATTATTCATGAACATCTTTCCATTATGGATTATTCATAATAAGTAAGTATGTTCAAGATGATTAATTAAATAAACTTGAATCTTACACAACAGCATTCATTTAATTCTTTCTTAAGAATGTTTTTACTAAGTTATTAAAAATCAGTGTTACTCTGAGCTTGAACAAGAATTTCTAAAATATTGCACCATAGTAGATTTTAGTGTATAAAAGGAAATCCATATGTCTTACTTTGCAACTTTAAAAAAGGGACATTTATAAATTGATCAAACACCAGCATGAAAAATAAGTTAGAGCAGCTGTACATTTTCAAACATTATTACCTTAAAGTATATAGAACTCGTCCATCATTCCAAATTCGCAGCAGACGATTAGGAGTTGTTATCCAATGAGCGTCAGATTTCCTTGAGTTTCTGAAGAAAGTGTCAGGAATCCAAATTTTCCCAACCATGTTACTGTTAAGCATAAGCACTTTCATAGTACTATTAAATTTTAAACGACTATCAAACCAGGTTTGGGCAAAAATTATATCAATCGTGTATTCCTGAAATATAAAAAGAAGAGGAATGACATGAAATAGTGAAGCCACTCTTTAAGATGTTTTCTTTAGATGCTTGAATTATTATATTAAAAAGTTTCTGTAAGTTGATAGCAATTAAACTGTCTTTTGGTAGAAAAAAACATATGCTATAATCTAATTTTTTGAAATTGTTTACATGAGTCATGTAAAAATAATCCAATATTTTTAGTAATTACTGCTACTTACTGTGGCTTCATATTTTTTGGGAAATTTTATTTAAAAATTTATAATATGTAGGATATAATCGTTAAATACAAAAGCAAATGATCTTATTGTTAGAAATTATATTAATTTTGTGATATTCACATGGTCAAAGTAAATAAAAAATTAAGATGCAAATATTCACCAAATAACCTAAAAGTCCTTATATTGTTCTTTGCCCCCCCAAATTAATTATGATTATTTAGATTATGATTTTCAAATATTAAAAAAAAAAAAAGTTTTTCTTTATTGATTTTTAAAGAGAGAGGAAGGGACAGGGAGACAGAAATAGAAACATCTATGAGAGAGAACATCCATTGGCCCGTCCTGCATGCCTCAAACTGGCGATTGGGCCCACAACCTGGGCATGTGCTCTGACCGGAATTGAACTGGCGACCTCCTGGTACATGGGTCGACACTCAACCACTGAGCCACACCAGCTGGGCTGTTTTAAAATATTTTAAAGCGCGCGCGCGCACACACACACACACACACACACACAAACACACACACACACTACCTGGGCAGCTTCACAACAGTTATCTTTCATGCCTATCCTGACCTCCTGCTTCTCAGGCCAGATGTCTTTTCTTTGGGATAAATTATGCTTTATCCAAGCAACTTCTTCAACTGACATAAATGATTAACCATTCATAGTCTAACAGTAGTGTAGCCTTCATTGATGACACAGTTTCTGGGTTTTCTTTTTTTATCCTCACTCAAGGACATTTTTTCATTTTTTTGTTCAGGTAGAGTGGGATGGAGAGAGAGAGAGAGAAAGAAAAAGAGAAAGAAACATCGACGTGAAAGGGATACATCCAGTGGTTGCCACCCGCACAACCCAACCAGGGCCGGGGACAAACTGCAACCAAGGTACATGCCCTTAGTGGGAACTGAACCCGGGTCTCTCTGGACCGCAGGCCAACGCTCTAACCGCTGAGCCAAACCGGCCAGGGTCGGATTCTGGTTTTAGTAATAAATGCAAATGGAAAGAAGGCCCACCGTCATTCTGATGAGTAGATCATCAGTAGATATGATGGATCTCAGGAAAAGTATCTCATCAACATGACATCTGAGAATTTCATTGTACGTTGGTATGTAGTTAAACAGCAGACACTGCTTAAAATGATGAAAGAGGCATACAAATGTGCCAGGACTATGGCTAAGCAAAGACCCAACATTGGTTGGTAGAGGGAACTGCATGCTACTTGGTGGGTATACTTGGCTGCAACATTCCAAACTAACAGGGCATTAAGTGTCACTTGAGAGCTAACTTGTCCAGGGGTGGGATTTAGCAAGCAGCTGTGAATCTTCTTTAGTAACAGCTGACAGGATCGTCTTTAGAATACCTGTTTATAAAAGTGCTAGTCACTGTTGAAAGAGTTATGACTTCCAAAGGCTCGAACTCTCCCAAGCAGAGAGTCTTGAGGAAATGCGAAAAATTGTCTATTCAAAACTATTCCCTCAATCTCAGATCAAGAAGAGAAAGATGTCTTGATAATTATCGGTCTTGACCAAATCCTCAACAGAGGTTAATAATACCAAGCTCTTTTAAATCGCTAATCCTTAATAAGTGTCTCACTGGGGTAAGGTTAGTAAAGTTTGTACTGTCTTGTACGTGATTGAAAAATCCAATTTTTCTTTCACTCATTTGTTTTAGTGTAATTTCCAGAAAACAATGAAACCATGTTCTCGTACTTCATGTTCCCATTTAGAGGTTGTAATAATCTGCATAATGAATAAGCAAAACAAACATGAAAAGAAACTTCCATTTATCCTGAACAAGTGCAATAGCTTCCAGGATAAACATTTGGAAATAAGAAACAGAGCATTTAACACGTGACATCCAATGTACATTATGAGACTTCCTGTCTCCTTGAAAGTTAGTTGACAAGACAGCAATAGTAAATGATAGTGAGGTGAGCGATCTTGATTTCTAACTCCATTAAATCAAACCATAATTGATGAAAGTTTATGTAGTGTAGTCTTATTATTGCACTGTCAGCTTTCCAATTATGCAGTGTGTCTTGCACTTAACTAGCTAATTCACTACCGCTGTCTTTTTAATAATAAAAGAAACTTTACATAAAATGCAGACCTGCCTAGGTAATTATTGTAGGTGCATAATTTCATCATGAAATTTGGTTGAATGTGATCTGGTCTTTCCACCTGGACATTAATCTCTTCCTAAATTATCTATTCACATGGCCAGATTTTATGGTGGGCCAAATGACAGCAGTCAATCAAATCTAAGGGTTATAGACATGTGGAGAAAGGTACAAGTATAGTTTGCAGGGCATTCTGAAAACCAAGTGAAGAGGTGATGTTTTAGTCATGAGGGACAGGCAGTCTGGAGAAAGAATGCCTTCTTTCTCAAGGGGCCTCAGTCTTTTCTCAAAGCTTTCATCTGATTGGATGATGTCCACTCACCTTATAAAGGATAATCTGATTTACCCAAAGTCTACTGATTTAAATGTTAATCACATCTAAAAAAAATGCCTTTGCAGCATCATCTAGACTTGTGTTGGACAAATATCTGGGTACCATAGCCGAGCCAAGTTACATATAAAATAAACCTGCAGAGCTGTAACAGCAGCAATGGACATTCATAGATTCAGAAAGACTTAAAAACTCATGCATGTATTTCATTGCTAGACAAGTTAAAAGGAATAATTGCTGTGCTAGGAAGTAGCAGTTACCCAGTTAATGTTTCATACACACACACCCACACACACACACACACACACAGTCTTTTCATTTTGTCCTATTTCTTACTCACTCTACCTCTTAGTGAAGTTTGTTCCGTATTTCTCAACTGAGTGAATGTAAACTATTGTAAATTGTTTATCCGTATGTTCTTGTCTTTTATTCTTTTTCTGAATCCCAAGCTTGATCTGAATGAACTTTCTCAAAGTCTAAACTGAAGGTTGGATTTAGCCAGGTACAAGGGAGTCCTGGCAATTTTATGTAGGTCTCATACTCTAGCCCTATTCTACAACTCCACTTTAATTACTGATAAAAATGTTTATGTTTTGTTTGTTCATCTCTTTTTCCCCTTTTTTATGCATATTTGTCAGTGGATTCAGATTCCAGGCACAAGGATCAAAAAGTGAGAAATATTTACCAGTCCTGTCAAACACTACATGCACTCCAGAAAATGCAGATTACTATTTATTTCCATACACATGCTTTCTTGTTAAGATACTCTCAGATTTAACTTTGAAATTTCACAGAGTAAATTAAATTTGGAATTTTATTTTTCAACTGGAGAATTTCCAAAATAAAATATGATTATTTATAAAGTAATTCTAAAATGTTATTTACATTAAGATCATTGCATGGGATTAAATATACAATATTGCCTATTTCATGTACCTATTTATGGGAGAACAAGAGAGGTGGACTGTCCTCCTCCGAGGTATCCATTGTTGGGATGGGCATATCATCTTTTTTTTGTTTGTTTTATCATTCTACCATGAGAAATCCATTACTTCGGATCCCGAAATTTTAAACAATAAGGTGTTTCATTTTACACACACACACATATATATATATTTGTAAATGTAACCTATGTATGTCTTGGAAAGTTTCATCACAACTAAGCCCAACTAATATCAAATATCACATGGCAGGACAATTCCTTGAATAAATTCTAGGACCTTGCCCAATGTACAGACAACAAAATGATTTTTATATTCACTCTGTTATTTCAAAATAGTATGAGATAGAAACAGATGTGCACATGGAATACTCAACATCTGCCATGTGGAGAGTTGAAGTGATACAAAGACAATCCAGAAAGCAGAAGAAAGCTTTCCAGATCACTACAACATTGCATTAAGCAAAAAGACAGCAACATAAATGGCTGGAGAAAAAGCAGCCAGTTGATGAATCTGACATTCAGTCAAGAGAAACCCATCTAAGCAAGACAAACCTTATATTTGGAAATGATATATTTATTTTTGGAAAGATCTGCAGCTTTGTCAATTTGTTTTTTTCCACTTTATAGATTCTTGCCACTGTCCATAGTCTTAGAGCAGAAAATAAAGAATTGTTTGACATTGTCAGTGTGTTGCTAAGATTGCAAAAGGTTAAACGTCAAGGCATTTAAACAAGTTTTCTTTCACATTTTCATTAAAGTACACAACAGCTGAAGTTAGTTCAAATTCATTGCCAATCTAAGACCTAAAACTTTAGTACATTATTAGAGCCTTTGAACTAAAGAAAAAAACAAAAGAAAAATAATACATTGAGAAAAAGGGCATTGACTTTTAGTTGTATACACAATTTTAAATGATTTTCCGATCAACAAAACCAACAGGGATACATCAAAAGTGTGTGTTGTAGTGAGAAGTTATGATGAAATACAGAGAATGCTGGTTGGTTGGAGTCAAGATATCATGTTATGGTTCCAGTTCTGTGACTCACTAGAATATGATGTTAATCAATTCACTTAGTCTGTATCACTCGGAGAGTGAGGGCACTAGGCAAGATCCCTGTTATGATCTTTCTCAACTCTGAGGATCATTGATCATAAGACACAGACATTAACTTCAAAAAAAAAAAAATGTTCTTAAAAAAACAAGGATAAAGACTAAGATGGAAATGGTGCCTTCCAGTGACATTTCCTTATAAAAATATTTTTGATTTATAAATTTATAGGTTTCTTTGTTACTTTCATTAGTTCCATCTAATTGCTGATAAACTGGTAGTTGAAAAGGCTTAAGCCAGTGGCTGCCAAACCTGGTTGACTAGAAGTCCTG